ATTAAAATGCAAATCAATTTATAACATTTTTGACATGCGTTTTTCTGCATTTTTGTTGTTGTTATTTTGTCTCTCACTGCTCAATTAAATCTACCATTAAAATTATAGACTGATCATTTTTTTGTCAGTGGGCAAACGTATAAAATCACCAGGGGATCAAATACTTTTTTCCCTCACTGTATTTGTCTACTGCTGTAAATGTCCACGTGATGCCCACATCGTCGAGCTATCGTTTGTGATGGCTTGTCACGTGGACATGTCAAGCAACCAAATGCTCTAAACGCGTGATGGTATGGAGGGAAAATCTCGAGGACCCACAGAAAAATCCACGCGACCACGGGGAGAGAGACTACAAACTCCAAATATACAGCAGCAGGCGTCAAGGTCGGGTTCGAACCCACGACCTCCTGCATACCAGGCGAGGTAGTGAACATCTCCTAGCCACCGTGATGATCCAGGGTCCTCAAACCGCCGTGGCCGAAGCCGTTCAATCTCCTCATCTCTTAATTGCACCTGTGCCTAACAACATTGTGATTTTTTTTATTCTTCTTCTTCTGGAGCCTCTTGCGCGCTCTCATTGTTTAAATAATGATTACACACTGTTATTGAATTTCGCCCTTGTCGTCTGTTTACATTATTCCACGTCGTTGACGCTTAGCGTCTTCGCATCTTTGAGCTGACATGTTCTACACAGCCTCGTCCACCGCGTGACAATTTAAGATTTTCACGCGTCCTGGGTCTGTTCGCGTTTTTTTCTTAATTGTTTTAATAATCAGCTTTAATAATTAATTGTAATTTTACATTTTAATGATTAGTTTTAGTAATTCGTTTTAATAATACATTTTATAAATTCATTGTAATAATTAGGTTTATTAATTCATTCAAATACAATTTTATTTTAAGAATATTTTTTAATAATTGATTGCAATATTTTATGAAAATAGTTTATTGTAATAATGTATTTAATAATTAACCTTAAATTTAGTTTAAATAATACCTTTTAAATAATGTTTAATCATTTTTAATACTGGTAGGAACCTCCTGGTTACACCAGCCCACAGGGGGATTATTGTGTCCGTCCGTCCGTCGTGCATCCAGAAATGGGAGGGGTGGGGGCTGGGTGGGGAGGGGAGGGTGGGGAGGGAGGGGCTGGGAGGGGAGGGTGGGGAATGGCTGGGTGGGGAGGGTGGGGAGGGCGTGGCTGGGTGGGGAGGGGGGGAGGGAGGGGCTGGGTGGGGAGGGTGGGAGGGAGGGGCTGGGTGGGGAGGGTGGGGAGGGAGGGGCTGGGTGGGAGGGTGGGGCTGGGTGGGGAGGGTGGGGCTGGGTGGGGAGGGTGGGGCTGGGTAGGGAGGGGGGGCTGGGTGGGGAGGGTGGGGCTGGGTAGGGAGGGAGGGGCTGGGTGGGGAGGGTGGGGCTGGGTGGGGAGGGTGGGGCTGGGTAGGGAGGGAGGGGCTGGGTGGGGAGGGTGGGGCTGGGTGGGGAGGGTGGGGCTGGGTGGGGAGGGAGGGGCTGGGGGGGAGGGTGGGGCTGGGTGGGGAGGGTGGGGCTGGGTGGGGAGAGTGGGGCTGGGTGGGGAGGGTGGGGAGGGGTGGGGAGGGTGGGGCTGAGTGGGGAGGGTGGGGAGGTTGGGGAGGGTGGGGCTGAGTGGGGAGGGTGGGGAGGGAGGGGCTGGGTGGGGAAGGCGGCCACGGCACACACGAGGGGGTGGGTGGCCACCAACCACGCCCGGCCATCTTCACGACATTTTCCCCTCCACGTGGAGAATCAACAACATGCGTTTGGAGTATACGGCTGCTCTCAATCTCTACATTACAAGCCGCCAATTCGTGGGTATTGTATTCTTTTTTTCTCTCCACCATCCCAGGTCCCCACTCGGTCCCCACCCTTCACGTCGGCTTGTGCCCGCCCCCACAGTCGGGCATATTTGCGGAATACACCACGTGGTGGTGCCGCCGTGGACCCTGGCCATTGACCGAGCAACCCAACGTTCCTACCAGCTCCCTCCCTCCACAGGAGAATGTGTTCCTCACATTCTACCCCCCCCCCATCCCCCTTTTAAAAAAATCACGAATGACCACACCCAGCCACGAGAGCGAACGTCTCGTCCAATCAGAGCGCCGCTCGTCATGGCGCAGGAGCAGCCCTACTTTGCCCCCTCTTAGCGCGACACCAACATCTTCAATAACAGTTATAACACTTACGACTACTGCCGTCGCTGAAGTAATTACATAGTTATAATCTTAATGAGTAGCTGCACTGGCCGTTCACTTTGTCACTCCCGGCCTGGCTCATTGAGCGCAACATTGTGATGCTCGAGTCGAGCGATTTTACTTTTAAATGCCCGAACCCTATTTCCATTGACACAATGCCCTCATTATCATAGCTGTCAGCCCACGTGTGTTTACCCCGTGTTCTTAGGTCCATGCGGAGTACAGCCGTTTCAGTACGGGCAAAAATAAAAATGTGTTTCTCCCTCGTGATGGAGACTTTGTAGGATGAACGTTGAGATTTATAAGGGTGACCAATAAGATCTGAATTGGTCTGTTAAAAGGTAGGCACTGATAAGGGGTTAACAGGAATGCACTATACACTACTATACATTCCTATACCCAACTATACACTGCTATACACTTATACACTGCACTATACACTACACTATCATACCTCGCAACCCATATGGTTTACTGCGTATTCTTGTACAGGGGAATTCAATTTTCAGGTCCATACGGCATACAGCCGTTTCAATATGGGCACAAATACAAATGTGTTGTCTGTTTGTGTTTCTCCCTTGTGATGGGACTTGGTAGGAATAACGTTGAGATGTATAAGGGCACGGGATGACCAATATGGTCTGAATTGGTCTGTAATAAAGTAGGCACGATACTCTTTGGTTCTTTCGGTAAAGTCACTTAGGTGAAAAAATAAATAGAAAATAAAATAAAAAGTAGATTTTTTTATTTTTCTATTTTTTTATTATAATTTTTTCGCCTACGTAACTTTACAGAAAGAACCAAAGTGTATGGATCCTTGCAGTCACAAAAACTTCAAATCTAAAGTAGGCACTGATAAGGGGTTGACAGGTTTGCACTTATGATTGTTGATGTAAGTGCTTTAAATGAAAGTGCTACATCTGTGCACTTTGAATGCTGTGTAGCAATATGCCCCGTTGTACATATGCTCGCATTGTTATACCACTGCAGTCTATATGTCTCTTACCATCTTTTGTACGGTACTTAATGATCCCAAAGGCGGCAGTTAAACGCGTTATATGTATCGTACTTTTCTTTGCAATCGGAGTGATCGTTATTCTAATTGTAATAGCCGTCATTCGTGTTGCGTGCTATCAACCTGTCATCACGTAGACGTATAGCAATGCGGATGGTTTAATGTTTTGTACGGTCAAGGGTTGACATTGGCAAGCCATCATTGTCATCTCTGCAGGGTCATAAAATCGGTATCACTTTGTGCGAAGTCGTCAGTGGCTGTTAAAGAATGTCCCTGCCTTGTGAATGTGGAATTTCCACTGGTGGAGATGACCGCCACACAATGCCCGTAGACCTTTTGTCAATCCACTGCTGGTTGAGGGCCTCCCCACGCCCTGCCGGTTTGTGGAGACCGTTTGACCATACTTCACCCTGGCCGGTCAGTGCGGGCAGCATAGACGTACAATAAAAACTGGATATAACCACAACGTGGCTCCGCAGCCCTATGGCAACTGTTTGTGCATGGCCGGCACCATCCAGGCACTGCTTGGCTTTCGATATCCGACCAGATTGGGGCGCATTTCAAGTCCGGGTGATTTGTTCATAGGCATTGAGGGTTATAGTGATGCTGTTCTTAACAGTTAACATCTCCCGACGGCGAGGTGTTAACTACCTCGCCGTGTATACAGGAAGTTGTGGCTTCGATGCTGACCCTCGCGTCTGTATATTTGGTTGTTGCATGTTCTCCCTGTGGTCCTGTGGGTTGTTCTCCGGGTCCTCTGGTTTTCCCCTCCATATTTAGAATGAACGTGCGTTTTAGAGTATTTGTCTGCTACGAATGCCCACGTGATAAGCCACTTCGTTGAGCTGTCATTCGTTGCCAGGCCGCTTATGAAAAAGAGCGATATAGCTCAGTGGGCCTTAGCTGGTAAAATAAAAAAAATAGTTTCGATTAATTTTTCACTTGGGACACTGGAACGCTGGTGCTATAGGTTGGCTCCGAGTTGAGATTATCGGCGTAAGGCACCACCACTAGAGTGCAAGGTACACTACCGCTTTTCAAACTATGCAAAGTGCTCTGAGCTAAGGCACTCTAAGGATATAACATTTGTTGCAGAGCTTCGCAGTTCCACTCCAGCTGGCGCCCTGGTTAACACTGGTGGGGTGTCACGGTGGCTAGGAGATGTTAACCACCTCGCCTGGTACACAGGAGGTCGTGGGTTCAAACCCGACCCTCACGCCTGCATTTTTTGTAGCTTGCATGAAGTAGAAAATACATTCTACTCAAGCCAGAGTCGAGTCGCGATTGAGACCCATAGGGGCCCTGCGCATGCAACTCTCTGGTTCTCTGTCTCTCTGTCACTCTCTCTCCGTCTCTCTGTCTCTCTGTCACTCTCTCTCTCCGTCTCTCTGTCTCTCTGTCACTCTCTCTCTCTCCGTCTCTCTGTCTCTCTGTCACTCTCTCTCCGTCTCTCCGTCTCTCTGTCTCTCTGTCACTCTCTCCGTCTCTCTGTCACTCTCTCTCCGTCTCTCCGTCTCTCTGTCACTCTCTCTCCGTCTCTCTGTCTCTCTGTCTCTCCGTCTCTCCATCTCTCTGTCACTCTCTCTCCGTCTCTCTGTCTCTCTGTCACTCTCTCTCCGTCTCTGTCTCTCTGTCTCTCCGTCTCTCCGTCTCTCTGTCACTCTCTCTCCGTCTCTCCGTCTCTCTGTCTCTCTCTCTCTCTCTCCGTCTCTCTCTGTTCGCGGGCCTGGAGCCGACTACCGAGCGTCGTGCATCTCTTCCCTCTCGTCCCGCAGATCAAGAACGCGGCGGCCAACGTGCTGCGCGAGACGTGGCTCATCTACAAGCACACGAAGCTCGTGAAGAAGATCGACCACTCGCGCGTGCGCAAACACCAGCGCAAGTTCCTGCAGGCGATCCACCAGTACGTCAGAGGGGGGGGGGCGGGGGGAGGGGTTTGTGGGGGGGGTGTTGGAGGAGGGGGAAGGGTGCTGCCCAGCCCGTTTAGCCGCAGATTCACGGGCGTAATTGCAGGGCTGCGCCTGTAGTTTTCCCACTGAACTTGGCTTTACGCACAGCAACGATCGTTGCACCACCCACGCTACTACTGGCAGGTTGATGCTCGCTTCGCTGGCCAGGCGCTGAGTCGACTTGTGCTGCACAGGGACAGCTGCCACTGGGGGGTCCCCTGGGTGAGACCACATAACAGTCTGATGTGCTGCAGTGACAGCTGCCACCGGGAGGTCTCCTAAGGCTTTGGCAGATGAATGTCCGCTCACAGGCCAGATGCTGAGGCATGCTGCGCTGCACAGGGACAGCTGCCACTGGGGGTGCCGTTTTTCACCCGGCGTGTTGGCACGGGATGGCGATGCAATAACAAGTCGCCTGCCACATGTGTGTACGACCCTCTCCGAGACGCGCCGGTGTAGAGCAGGGCGGCTCTGCCCTAAACCAAATCCTTCCCCGTGACTCAAGGTCACTCGCCGCTACTTGACATCTCCTCTGTTTGGTGTTACTAAGTTAGGGGTCGTGGGTTCGATCCCGACCCTGACGCCTGCTGTATATTTGGAGTTTGCATGTCTCTCTTTCTCTCTCCCCGTGGTGGTCGTGTGGATTTGCCGGGTCCTCCTTCCGTATTTCCCCCTCCCACATTTAGAATCAACATCACGTGCGTTTACAGTATTTTGCTGATGCTATACATTTCCACGGAATGATAAGCAATTTGGTTGAGTGTAGGATGTTTTTTTTTCGCGGTTGCACTCCTGTGCGGCTCTTTGTCGACGCACTTTCGGGTCGTACCCGTGCGTTCGGCACAATGTCCGACGTTTCGCTCCACGTGCTGGCAGTGGGCGTGGGCGCTTGGCAAGGGTGCTGTTGATAGCTCGTGAAGGACGCTCCTGGTTAGTTGGAGGCAGTCGCCCTCCAACAACAACGCAGGGCAGAGGAGCAACGCTCACAACAATAAGCGGAGTGCTGGGCGGCTAAAATAGAGCAAGTTGGCACTATAGGAGTCACAGCTGGTGCATGTGCCGGTCTTCTCAGTCAGTCGACCCATGGCACCTGCTGGATTTGTCCCATGACCTCCTGCCAGCAGCGAGACCTCGACATCACCACGGCACTGACGCAGTGGTGATGTCAAGGTTATTTCGTGGCGAATGGCAAGTATCTGTATTGGTCGATAGCGGTGATGGTGGTGATGGTGGTGGCTTTAATCGGCCTGGGGTTGGCAGTATTGGTGGTAGAGATTTTTTTTTGGCGGCGATGGTGGTTGGTTTAGTGGTGACACCGTTGTCGGTGGTGGTGATGAAAGAGAGTGGTGCTAGTGGTAATGATGGTGATAGTGGTGATGATTATGATGGTGATGGTGGTAGCGGTGATGGTGGTGATCATGATTGTGGTGGTGGTCATGGTGGGGGATATTGGCATCTGCCAATAGCCCCTCCTCCTCCACCCCCCCCCCCCTTTCCCCATGTGAACCCTAACACCACAAGAGTTTCCGTGGTAAAATAAATCGTCTGCTTAACCTCATGACCCATAGAGGCAGTCCTGTTAGCGAGTAGCACCTATGAAGGCCGGCACGGCTCACGAAGGAGTGGTGTGGCTGAGTCGACCTGGGTGGCTCACATTCACAGCAATAATAATAATATAACCACGCCTTGCCACTGAGTGGCAGTAACATCACCACGGTACTTGTGCCAGGCTAGGTGCACGTCGAGGCCATCACATGAAGTGTTGAAAGCTCGCTTATGCAGGTCACGTGATAGACGCAGGTGTGGTGGGTTGACTCGCTGACAAAGACAAAAACAAAGATCCCCCGTATAGCCTTCACAGACTGTAAGAGCAAGTGCTATAAGCAAGCACCTATGAAGGGTGGACAGCACCGCGCCCAGCCACCTTTGTCTCCCCCGTGCTGATATTTACACATCATTCCGGGTACACATCATTCCGGGTACCTTAGGGAGGCCCAGGCTCAGATAATAGTCACTGGTGTTGGCCGTGAGCGGGAATCGAACTAGGGTCGCCGGCTTCGTAGCGCAGCGCGACAAATCACAGGCACACGCACACACACGCACACACACGCACACACACGCACACACACGCACACACACGCACACACACGCACACACAAAGGCACACACGCACACACAAAGGCACACACGCACACACGCACACACAAAGGCACACACAAAGGCACACACGCACACACAAAGGCACACACGCACACACAAAGGCACACACGCACACACAAAGGCACACACGCACACACAAAGGCACACACGCACACACAAAGGCACACACGCACACACAAAGGCACACACGCACACACAAAGGCACACACGCACACACGCACAGGCACACACGCACACACGCACACACGCACACACAAAGGCACACACGCACACACAAAGGCACACACGCACACACAAAGGCACACACGCACACACAAAGGCACACACGCACACACAAAGGCACACACGCACACACAAAGGCACAAAGGCACACACGCACACACGCACAAAGATGAAGATCCCCCATATAACCTTAACAGACTGTAGGGGCAAGTGCTGTTAGCGAGCACCTATGAAGGCCGGAACGGTACACGAGGGGGTGGGTGGCCAGCACCACGCCCGACTGCCTTTGTCTCCCTAGTGGCAATGTTTACACACCGCACCAGGTACTCATTTGAGGCTGAGTCGACCTAGGGGAGGCCCGTGACCGGTTCAGATAATCGTCACTGGTGTTGGCCGTGAGCGGGAATCGATCCCGGGTCGCCAGGTTCATAGCGCAGCACGCTAACCGCTACACTATCGCTCCTCCATCACACACGCACACACACGCACAAAGATAAAGATCCCCCATATAGCCTTAACAGACTATAGGGGCACGCACACACGCACGCACACACACACACACGCACACACACGCAACGACAACAACAACAACCGCCATTCGCCACTAAGTGGTGGTGATGTCACCACGACGCTTGTGCCAGGACATGTGCACCTTGAGGCCACGTGGAGTGTCGAACGCCCGCTGGCAGGAGGTCACGGGGCAGACCCAGGTGCCACGGGTCGACTGACTGAGATGACTGGCTGATGCACTACCTGTGCCCCCTACTGTGCCAACCTGCTGTGCTTTAGCCACCCGGCGCTCCACTCGTTGTTGTGAACGTCGCTCCTCCACCCTCCGTTGTTGTTGGAGGGCGACTGCTTCCAACTGCCCAGTAGCATCCTTCACGAGCCTCCTCCACAGAGGCCGATCATGACACCGCTGGTACCAGTCACCGGCAAGTCCACTCAGCTCCACGTCCTCCTATACCCATCACTCCGTCTCTATTCTCTAGCCCGTGCCGCGCCCGTTAAGCCCCCTCGATCCGGCCGAACAAAAGCTGTTTAGGCATGCGGTGACTTGGCATGCGGGCTACATGGCCCAGCCAACGCAGCCTTGCCTGCCGGAGGAGCTCACCGATGGGACTTTGTCCACATCTTTCAAGGATTTGGGAGCTCCTCACACAATCCAGCCTGGTTAAACCCAGGATGGATTGTAGGCAGGCTAGCCTAAATGTTTCTAACCGGCGAAGATGTTCCATTAGGGGGATCCACGTTTCGCAAGCGTAGAGAAGGGAGGGGGAATGACTGTGGCCGAGAAGACCTGAAGCTTAGTACGGAGCGACAGACCAGGTAGCTTCCACACAGCGTTACGCAACCGATGAAAAGATATTGCCGCTCGACTGATTCGGAGTGAGACCTCTGCTGTTAAACTAGAACCGGTCATAAGCACACTGCCCAGGTATGAGAAACTCTCCACTCTCTCCACAACTGCCCCATCACCGATTGGGAGTTGTGGGGGTGGAGTGTCCGATGGTACAAAATACCCAGGCAGGTGCTTAGTTTTGGTGGGGCCGATGGTAAGGCCCCACCTCTTAGTGACACACTCCAGTCTCAGCAGCTATTACCAAATCATCGGCATACATAACGTGGTTGAGCAATCGGAAGCCATCCCTTGACCGCACCCGAGCATCGATCAGCCTCCCATTATATCTGTACCAAATGGAAATTCCCCCGGTACAGCTATTGAAGGCTTCACGAACTACGTGGTCAAAATAGATGTTAAATAATGTGGGAGCCAGAAGACATCCCTGTCACACCCCAAGGTGTATAGGGAATGGCTCTGACTCCCGGCCACTTAGTTTTACTCGGGCCCCCTAACCATCATGAAGGTCCTTAATGATCGTGAGCAGAGGGTCAGGAACTCCAAAAGTACGAAGAACAACCCAGAGCCCAGGCCTACTGATGGTATCATAGGCCTTGACCAGGTCAATAAAGCAGAGATGTAGGTCTTGTTGGAATTCCCTACACCTCTGCTGTAGCAGACGGGCAGAAAATATGGCGTCTGTGCAGGACCGTCCTTTCCTGAAACCGCATTGGGGCTCCACAAGCCTCTCCTCAGCATGCCTGGCAAGGCGATGTTGAATAATCCTTTCCAGGATCTTTCCCGGCACACTGAGGAGTGAGATGCCCCTGTAGTTGTTACAGTCTGACCCTTCTTAAAGAGAGGGGACCACCAGGGCATCCTACCAATCCTGCGGAACCGGTCCAGTGGCCCAGACTGTTAAACTGGTAGGAACAAAGTTGTAAACTGAGTGTACCAGCCTGCAATAGATTAATGTGTCCATCCGTCCGTCCGTCCGTCCGGCCCCTTTCAATACTTTAACGATGTGAAATCTCGTGCTGTTGGGTGTAGAAGAACCCTCAACGATTTTGAGGGCAAAAAGGTGGGAAGACGCTCTCAATTTGCACAATTTTACGTAACAATGTCATAAAATTGCGCAAAATTCCAATGTTCCTACCAGCCCACCCTGCAGCGACCTGTTTATGATGTCATATAGGGCAGTCTGTGCACAAACGCCACCCTCCCTCAGCA